CACGATGCAAGTCCATGCTATCCAACCCCGTTCTCTAGAGTCGGGAAGGGCCATGGTCCTTACTTATTTCCATAATTCAATCGGCTATCCTCAAAGGCTACCGTACACACCCGTAGGCCAATCCTATGCCTAGGATCAATTTATTATTCAATTTATCTTGGGTATCCCTTAAGGCCTACCCCTAGTATAATTTAAAGTCCTTACTTTCCTACCTTAAAGCATCTTTTAAGACTACTTAAGGCATAATACTTCACAATCTAACCTTAGGATCAATTTTAGCAAGATTTCATTTTAATGTCCAACTAGTATATCAATACTAGTCCAATTAATTGCAACAAAACCAAGTTTTCTATTCATGGTCATTTATAGAATGCCCCACTGATTTTCCATTGAAAATATCATCATTATATCAATATACCAACATATCACTTTTAGTCATTCATATATTGTTATATCAAGTAAAAAGTATATTTCAACATACATTTCATAGTTAATTCCATTTTCAAGTCAACATACTCATAACACATGATCATACATAATTTATTCTTAAAATTGTATATCATGCTCCTTTTCTCATAAACAATAATCTTCTCATTTTTAGGCATTATTAATCATTAATAATCCATAAAAACACGTTTAATTATCTTACGTAATCTCATGAAATTAACTCACTAATTATAAGAAACATAGTCAGCCATCCTCACCTTGTGATGTGCTACAATGGTTGCCTTTGATAAGCCCTTCGACCAATCCCCGTTCTAGGCTGATTGGAAACAAAAAAGTGGACTGTTGGGCAGAAGCCATCCGGCTTTCACGAGAGGACATGGGGTGTATTTCTTGTCCTTAGGAGGCTTCCTCATCTTTAGGTCCGCACACACACACATCCCCTCTTGCCCCTTCCAGCTCTCACTCAGTCAAACAGAGCACATAAAAACGTGGGGTGGCCCCCACTCATGTGGGAGATCATCCCATTATGTCCCGGTGTGTGTAATCGGCCCCGAAAGTTGTATTTCTCGGACTGTTTAATTATATTTTATTTTATCGGGGCAAATAAAATATATCACACAATCCTAATAGTTATAGGCCTTTAGAATAGATGTACATTCCCCAACATTAATTTAGGAGTCTCCGAAATTCATTTCGGGCTGTTATCCGCTAAATTACCAATACCGGTAATTGGGCCTCGTTTGACCAACCGGTCAACTCCATGCCCTTTTCATGGCCCAACTAAAATATCCACCACCATATACATATTATCTTTATCAAGATGAATAAAATATGTGGTTCTGGAATTATCGGGCGGGCCCCCGTTCCCGACGTGGGCCCCACATACAATTTACTATTCACGTAAAAGAAATAATAAAAAATTAACAATCACGCAAATTCATAAATCATCCTTCAAGGTTTATTACATAATTTACTAAAAGTAAACATGCTTGGGGACGATGTCACAAATAAACTCGTCGTTCAATCAATTGGGCATTAAACTCTTGGCTCAAGAACACATAATTCTCTTCCTGCGCCGGCATGATTCTTCCTCATCTTCGCACCAGGCTTTTGTTGCGGCTGCTTTGGGTTCCTCTTTACAGTCCCAATCTTCCTCTCTGAATCAGTCTCAACCTTCAGTCTGTGATCAAACATGGTTGCCTCATGTTTGATAACATTTTTCTTGCTCAAGAACTTGTTAGAGGATACAAATACAAGACGTCAAATATCCCCTAGATGCATGATAAAGATTGATATTCACAAAGCATATGACACCATCTCTTGGGAGTTCCTTGAACAAGTCCCCAGGGGTTTGAGTTTCCCTAATCGTTTTATTTTGTGGATTATAGAATGTTACCATCGTCTCTTTCTCAATATCCTTACATGAGACTTTGCATGGTTTTTTCAAAGGAAAACATAGGCTTAGACAAGGAGGTCCAATGTCCCTTATGCTATTTGTGCTATGCCTAGAGTATTTTTCATATATGTTTAAAGGTTGTACTTATAGCTCAAATTCGGGTTTCAACTTTCATCCGCTATGTTCTAGCTGAAAACTACCCATCTTGTTCATGTCGATGATCTCATCCTTTTTCCAGTGACTCTCAATCTTCGTTTATTTTTTCAGATGACATTTTTAGGTGACCCTAACTCTGACGATGATGAAGTTGTTAAGATGGAAGATGAGATGAAGACGGGAGATGGAATGAGAGAATTGTATAGACCAAAGAAGATGGAGGAATTAAAAAAAGATAAGTTTCAACTCTTTTATAAAAAAAATCAACTCTTTTATAGACCCTACGATGGACCTCTACCAAACTTGCAAAGGTGTAAGAGCATCTCCAATAGAAAATTGGATTGCACCCCATAAAAAATGGACACCTCATCTATTTAAACTGTCCGTGAAGCTAACGTGGATTGATAGACAATTAAAACTATATTTCATCTCCAACGGAGTCTTTCACCGTCTCCCAAGAAGTCTACAATATAGAAAGGGTTAATGACTCAAATAGGACTAATAACAAAGTTAATTGCACATTTAGGACTACAAACGAAACACAACTTTCATAGGACCAATTTCAGTACAGTTGGACAAAAATACCCCTCTTTTAGTTTTTTAAATTTTAAAATTGTAAAATAAAAAATTATTGAAACCCTAGGAGAGCACTGTCGCCACCAGAGCCAAACCGCCTGCCGCCACCCCTCGCTGACGCTACCTGCCGCCACCCCTCGCTGACGCAACCTGCCGCCGCCCTCTCCGGCGACGGCGCCCCCTGTCGCCGCCCTCGCTGTCTACCATCTGCCGCCGCACCGTCGTCATCCATCGCCGCTCCTTGTCGCTTCCCACATCAGCGTTGCCATCTATGCCATCACTATCTGACCGGCGTCACCATCCACCCAAGCCACGATCCTCTGAGCACGCCACAATAGTGACAACTCAGGCGGAATAATTTTCCATTAACTTGGCAGATTTAGCATTGGGAATTAGATTTACTTCTGCCATGAACAAGTGTTTCAGATCTGCCAAAAAAGTTGGCAGATTCGACTTGGCATAGTAACACAAAACCGCCATAAATTTGGCAAAAAAAATGAAGTAAATAACCAAATATTCAAACAACTAAAATTTTTAATGGAACAAACATTTTAACACAACCACAAATTAGAAAAACGAAGCTATTGACATAAAACCATAAAAATCAATTTATAAAAGAGCATTTCTTCCATAATATGATTGTAAATGTACACATTTTTGCCATAAACTTGGCCAAATCTGAAGCAATCATCCAAATATTTATCAAATCGATTTTTTTTAAACTCTGAAATCAAAAACCAGAAAATCGAAATAGAAGTCTGAAAAACTGGAAAAAATAATTCAAAATTCAGAAAAATGGACGAAAATCGAAAAGAAGGAGAAGAAGAAGAAGAAGAGGAAGAGGAAGAGGAAGAGGAGGAGGAGGAGGAGGAGGAGGAAGAGGAAGAGGAAGAGGAAGAGGAAGAGGAAGCTAGAGAAAGAGGAAGAAGAAGAAGATGGATGGAGGAGAACCTTAGTGGCAGCGGCGTACAGAGAATCGAATGCAGCGGCGATGTGAGAGAGGAATCAAACGATCTTGTGTGCAGGGCGAAATTGGCGGCGGCTGAGATGGCTAGGTTGAAGACGGCTGATGATGCGCAGTGAAGGAAGAGATACAGAAGTGTGCGCAGTGAAGGAAGAGATACAAAATAGTCTTGTTTAGGGAAAAAATCATGAATAGTCCTATTTGAGAATTTCACTTCTCTTTTAATCCTATATGATGCAATTACTTATATAGAAACCACTCTGGTTTGGGAGGAGAAGAGGCACGCCAGTCTAATTCACAACAACACCTAGCAATAATGAACTCACATATTTTTTTTCTCAAAGTAAAATTGATGGTTTCAAAACAAAATGAAATATATCACGAAGGTATCCAAGAAACTATAGTACATATAGAGTATTCATCAAAATAAATATGTTAGGTTGAAGATGAATTAATAGATGAACAATTTAGAAGAGCAATCCAAAAGACACAGCCAGAGTTGCCAAAGCGGAAGGAACGAAACTGGCAAGATCGGAGAAAGATGTAGGGATCGGTGTGTCTACAGAAGATTCAACAGCGGCGGCAGTGTTTTGGACGGCGGACAGAGCCACCAAAGTCATCACGATAGTGGCGAGGAAAACCTTTATGTTGATTGCTCCTATAGCAACGAACTAAAGAAGAAACGCAGTTAAGCATCCTGACCTCCCGCAGCCAAAAAGCAAAATGTACCGGAAAAGAAGATGGTCGGACAAGGGGCCAATAACCGGCACTCTCCGCTGCCGCCTAGAGGAGAGTGCCGCCGTATGACAAGGGGCTGCTAGATGACGGGTTGGTTGTCCGTTTGGTAATGCTACAGCCTACAGCCGAGTGGTGCTTGCCGCCTTGCCGGAAGAAATAATACGAAGTAATACCTTTGTTGGGTTAATGAAGTATGGAGTACAGAGTACTACAATGCAAATAATGGAAATTATTATTGTAAATCATTTTTTGCTGAGTCACACTATGAGAAAGGCTCGGTGAAAATGGAGGGTGAGATAGACACCGTGCGTTGTTTTCCATTCCAGCTCAGCGTGTCAAGCGTTATCCATGTTTCCATTGGAGCGAGTAATTTTAACCCAAAGTGACGTGGCAATGCATTTAGAACAAGGTGACAACTCTGGTACCCACCTAAAAATTGGGGTAACGTACCTACCATTCACTTGATTGGTCTAAATCATTATATCATTTTTAATTTAGATTTAAATAATTCAACTGCACCATTCTGATTGGTCCATGTGGATAAAGGTATGGTACCTTAATGGTACCATTGAATTACCTTTAGAACAATCCATGTTGCTATTAGAGATGCTCTAAGCAAGAGATTTCTAAACAATGTTTACTATTACAAAGTTTGACTCAGTATGAAAAGAGTGTCTTGAGAGTTAACACTCTCCATGTGAAAGTCTATTAAAAACTCTCCATGTGAAAGTCTATTAAAACGACTACGGAGTACTACTCGCTCACTATATGGGTTATCGCGCTGGAGTTTTGTTTTTGCAGCATTGAAACATGAGGCCGCCAGTACAGAGCAACAGAATGGCTTCCTCATTCTCTTCCTCTTCCTCCTCATCTTCCTATCCCTTCTCACCCCACTCATTCACCACCATGGAGCAAGTCTGGGAAGACATCAACCTCTCCTCTCTCCATAACCACCTGCATTCCACTTCTTCTTCAAACAGAGCCGTCCTAGGTACGACTTCCGCCGCCGCCGCGGGCATTAACTTTCAAGACTTCCTGACTCAGCCGGCCTTTTCCGGAAAGGGTCGTGCACCGCTGCCGAACGCGGAGGCATCTCCGCCTATGCTGCTCGACTTGAACTCAATCGCGGTACCGGATCTTCACTTCATGCCGCCGCCGCCGCCGCCTCGGATGAGATCTGTGGACTTGGAGGATTTGGGGTGCTTTTCGGCCGGTAGAGGGGGCGACAACAATGGTAGGATCCTGAAACGGTCCGTCGACGACTCTGACCAAAATTCCACTGACCGGAGGCACAAAAGGATGATTAAAAACCGGCAGTCGGCTGCTCGATCAAGAGCTAGAAAACAGGAAAGTGCTGTTTGCTTTGCTTTTATCTTAATTACTTCTATATAGCTACGCACATACTACCTACATTCTTGATTCTTCTACATACACACACTTTTTTTGGATTTATTCCATTTTAGAATTTTTTTACCTTATGTTCTGTTATTCTTTTAGACATAAATAAATTAGTTTGCTTCTTAAAAAAAGACCTGTGTCACTTTTTTTGTTCTACTTTGCAAAAATTTCAGACCTACAATTTCTTGAATTTTAGCAAGTTCATTATAAAAATAGTTCAGAAAAACAACGTATTTGGTCTGCCTCTTATGCTGTGTCCGTGAATTTGTCTTCTTATGACTTGTTTTGTTCCTCAAGAATTTTCATACATGTTTGCTTAAATAGATGTAAAATGTTATAAAAATGGGAACCCATGTTTGTTACCCAGCTAGCTAATAAGCATCTACGTATATTAGCTTTGTAGCCTTGGTATAATTAAACACCTAAATCCTAATTCGCTTGTTTCTTTCCAGAACAATGATGTCATTCAGTTAGTGATGATATTCATTAAATGTTTTTTGCCAAACCATGTAACTTTTGTTTATAAAGATCATTGTTTCTTTCCTGAAATAGGACTCACAGATTTCTATTTGGGGAAGCTTTTACTGTTTTTCACTTCTCTACTTCCTTGTAGCATACTCCCGCCTCAACCCAGCTAATAAAGTTGCAAAAAACAGTTTAAATAGTCCGAAATGAATGAATAAGCAAGTATATATATAGTGCATGAGCTGCCAGTGATGTTTTGAGTTGACTGAGGACAGGCTTACACAACTCAGTTGGAGGAGGAAGCGCACAATTTGGTGGAAGAGAACAACAAGCTCAAGTTACAGCTTCAACAGGTTGCTTGCTTTTATCTTTCCCCTTCGTTACAAATTCCGTCTTTGAGCTAGAAATCTCAAGCACATACACTGATGCACACACAAACATTTGGTATTATGTGTGTTCAATAAAAGAAAGCATTATGTCTATTGTTGATGAGTTGATGATGGATAGACGAAAGAAGAAGAAAACTGTGAGATTTTAGCTGTGTGTATCGAGTAAGTTTAGCTATTGACTGCATGCATACATAAAAAGCTAAGGGCTCATGGAAGTTTTTCCTTTGAATTGGCAGCAGTTGTGTGCTTCAGAAGCTCCTACACTAAAAAAGAGCTCTCTTCACCGAACCTCATCTGCCCCATTTTGAGTATGGCCTCTCCCAGATGGATTCTTTCTCTACAATTAAAGGCTTGCTTGGCTTGCTTTTTTTTTGCCTACTATACTACTACGGAGTATTGTTTTTTGACAAAATCTTGTCCTAATTTAAGCAATGTGTGTATGTATGTGTAGTTTTTACAGTAGATTGGATAAATCTAACATCGCATCTTAGAATGTAGGCCAGACAATATGTAATTCCAAATATGGAAGGCCAGTAACTTTCTTTTTTTGGTAATGTAAATGTATGGGAAGTGGGAACATAAGATAGGAGTGGACCCTCACTGCCTATATTTCTTACGCAGTATTTATTTATTTATATTAAATATCTTTTTTTTTACAGTATGTATTTAAAACTGTTAGTTGGGTGGGAGAACTTGTGCCATGTTAGTTGGGCTGTTTTTATGCATATTTAAAATTATAAATACTTTTATAATTGATCTTTTTTCCTTTGGACATTGTAATTTTATAATTTTGAAACGAAATCAGACTTCATCAAACCAAACCTTACTAGACTTTGAAAATAGTAAAATTTACCTAATATTAGATTTGATCAAATTTTTAATATTTCAATCATTCTATACATTTTTTGGGGGGTTAATGCACCAAACCCCCCGTGATATGGAAATTCAGCGCATTAGCCCCCTGCGATTTAAAAAATGCGTCAAACCCCTTTGTGTTTTAATTAAGAAAAAAATCCACTTTTGGACTTTTGGTCCTATGACTATTATAAAACTTCCACATTTAGTCTCTTACTTTCAGATAGTCCACATTTAGTCCGTGACTATTATCCCCTCACCACCCCTCGTTCTTCTGGCCAAAATTTCGAATAATTTAGTCCATTTATTAGCCTCAGAATCAGTCTTTGCATTAAATTTTATATAAGTTTGGGTTTTTCATATCAGTCTTTGCATTAAATTTGGTTTTTCATACCTAAAATCTGCATTAAATTTGTCAGAATTTTGGCCGGAAGGATGAGGGGTGGTGATGGGATAATGGTCACGGACTAAATGTGGACAATCTGAAAGTAAGGGACTAAATTTGGAAGTGGTATAATAGTCACGGGACCAAAAGTGGAATTTTTTCTTTAATTAATCATGCACAAAACCCCTTTTATGAATAAATTCAACGATTTGGAAATCACTTTTCCAAATATTCTGATTGAATATGCAAGTAAATATGTCAAAATCTCTAAAACATACAAAAATGTTGATAATTTTTTTTAATTTGACAAATGAATTTATTCATAAAAGGGGTTCTGTGCATGATTATTTAAAACACAAGGGGGTTTGACGCATTTTTTAAATCACAGGGGGCTAATGCGCCGAATTTTCATATCACGGGAGGTTGGCGCATTAAACCTATTTTTTTTGTAAAATTTCCTTTAAAGTCTTAGAGAGCTTTCAATTTATCAACTTTATGATTCAATTTTTTTTATCAAACATGTAATTTTTGTTATTACGTGTTGAATTGTATAATAATCAAAATAAATAAGGATAAAGTTATTTTAAAGGACCATTTTAACTAATTGTTCATACAATATTTTCTTTATTTTATCAATAAAATACACTCCTTCCGTCCCATTAGAAGGTTCTCACTTTCCTTTTTGGATGTCCCATATAAAGGTTCTCATTTCCATTTTAGGAAACAATTAACAATTTTAAGTGACAAATTAAAACATTAAATATTAAAAATAATGCATTTATAACATCACAGTTATCAATACTAATTACATTATAATATATACCTATTAAAATTATTTCTCAAAATATACCGAAGTACTTTATTTAATTATTGTCTAAATAACCATGTCGTTTTGCTATATGAATCTTTCAAGGGGACGGAGATAGTACATTATATACATAGTATATGTTCTCTATAAACTTATTTACTATTTTCTCATATTACAGTTATACTACCAATGTTTACGAGCCCGTTTGGTGACCCTTTTTTTCGGCTTATCAGTTTTATCAGCCAACTTTTTCACCAAAGACATAATTTTTTATTTCGCGCGCTAAAGTTTGTATTAAACAGAAAAAGTAAGGTTGGAGTTACTTTTCTGATTGTTTTGGCTGAAGTTACTGTAGAGGATCATTTTAACTATTTTTTCATATAATTTTTTATTTAATTTATTAATAAAAAATATTTAAATATATTTTTTTTTCATGAATCAGCGGAATCAATCAATACAGCCATTTCAGCCAGAACTTCATAAATTTCAGCAGGATCAACCAATTCAACAAATTTTAGTGTTACCAAACGGGCTCTACATATTATTCAACTTGTTATATCACTAAGCCTAGTAATACTAGCTAGTTATTGTCATATTTTACAAATATTGTACATTTGTGCTAATTGTCATATTAGTAGTATGTAGTAATATTATATTGATTGTTTACTAGCGAAGTAGCGATGTATGTAATAATACATTGTGATCTTGTAATATACGAGTGTAGTTTGTAACGTTTATCTTTTGTATCACACATTCACACTGTAATATTGCAGCAGTAGTGACGTAGTGTACAACTTTTTGATGTGTACTAATAATAATCATACTAGTAATATTACTAATATCACATTTACGGTGTAAAATTTCCCATTGTATGTGCGAGGTAAGCCACAAACGATATGGGAATCCAGAGTGGTTACCAATTCTTGCAGCTTGAAGATAGATCAAGGCCTTGTTTGGTTCAAACTTCAAAGGAGAGGAGGGAGGGGGGAGTCAAGGAAGGAAGAGAAGAGGAAGGAGTTTGATAAAAATTTGTGTTTGGTTGGAGGAAATATGAGGAAAGCTTTAATGAAAATATTTTTGTAATTTACTTTTATTTGATAGTAGGGATGGACTCGGTTCGGGCCGGGCCCGGTTCGGGCCTTGAACCGGCCAGGCCTCGATTCAAGGTATGGGAGGCCCGGAACCGGCCCGGGTAACCCCCGGGTCCGGGCCGGGCCTCGGTTATATTTTTTTTTTTGGGCTTTTCCTAGTTAACCCCCAACCCTCCCCCTCACCCCCAAACCAACCCTAACCACCTCAAATGGCCCAAAATACCCAGCACAACCCAAAAACTAAAAAAAATCCAAAAAAAAAAATATTGGCCTGACCCGGGCCCGAACCGGCCGGGCCGGTTCACCTTTTGAAGGGCCCGAGCCCGAACCGAGATCCCACCGGGCCGGGTGGCCCGAACCGGCCAACCAACCGGTTCATCGGGCCGGGCCGAGCCCACACAGTAGCGGGCCGGGCCGGTTCCGGGCCGATTGGCCCAGCCCAAGTCCACCCCTATTTGATAGCTTACTTAAAAAATAGATACATGTCTAACTATTGTGAATATTACTCCAATGGTCACGAGTCATTATTTTATTTTATTTTTTACTTTTTTAATTTTATAATTTTTCATTTTTCAATTTGGAACTTTAATATTTTTATTTTTATTTTTTAAATTTTTTTATTTTTAATTTTTAAAATATTTAACTTATAATTTTTTTAATTTTTAAAATTTTTAATTTATAAATTTTTTAATTTTTAAAATTTTTAATTTATAAATTTTTTAATTTTTAAAATTTTTAATTTTATAATTTTTTAATTTTTTAATCTTTAAATTTTTAAATTTTTAAAATTTTCAAAACTTTTTGTTTTTTACCTTTTTGTGTTATAACGTTTTGTTCATTCACGTAGGAGATGGATGGTTTGTGCTTATCAACACGTTTCCTTCGAAATACCTCAATTTGGGGGTTTAGAATGAGAGGAAGTGGAGGATTTTGAAAGGCTTCCACTTTTCCCCGCTTCCCCCTATTTCCTTCAACCAAACACACATAAATTCTCCACTTTCCTCCCCTCCCCTCCGAACCCTCCAACCAAACAGGGCCTAATAGATTATGCTCCATCAACCAAACAGGGCCTAATAGATTATGCTCCATAGTAATTCAGCTAAAGAAAAAATCATAGGTAGGACCTGGCAAAGGCATCATACAGAAGAGTAAATTAATTGTTGTACGTTAATAAAAGACATAACGTACGCATCGTGGTTATCCTAGGATTCCTAGCTATATCATATCTACATGCTGCTTCATCTCCCTCGTACGGACCTCCATTTCGCACCACATACATGCATGCTTGATTTAAAAGATAATAAGAGTCCACATATACTGTATCCATTGCTGCTAGCTCTTGTCTCTACTCATATGTTAAGATTCCATGAATTGAGGGAGCGGGGGGCTTGTCTTCATCTTCTGTATGCCTGCTGCACGTTTTATCAATGTACCCCCACATATACTTCAGATATATACTACGTAGTATATATATGACTCATTACAAAAATAATGGAGGAAAGTCACCGCTAGCAAGAACGCATACCGTTGATTCCACGAATCTCAAGTTCCCTGTGCTCTTGCACCAGGGCGCAGCAGCAGCACATCAAGTGTGAGAGGAAATCATCAATAAACCCTCCCTGCAATTTGAAATACAGTATACACATGTTATTATGACATAGATTTACTTCATCATCATCGTCATTACCCCACTGACGCAAAGGCTTCCACCTACGGTGGGGTAAGGGGGTCGGATGTACGCAGCCTTACCCTGTACTTAAGTATAGAGAGACTGTTTCCGGATGATCCAAAGTGAAAAACGCGTCGAAAATTGCATAGACTAACGCGTTGAAAATTTAGTGAGTCATTTTGCTTTATTCCATCATATTCTCAATCCAAAAAACAGTGAGTCTTTGGCTCCATTGCAAATAATGGAAAAACATAGATTGACTATAGTGGACATAAAATACAATGAAGATGTCTACTTTTTTAGAATTTATCATTGTTGATTATAACCCCTGCATTCCTCATGGTATCAAAATTTGCGCTTCCATGCATGGTTGCTTGTGTTTATTATAGAAACACAGCAATATATGGTAAAGAATGTTTTATTGAATCCGTATGGCGTACATGTACTGCCTTTGGTCTTTATATACAACAACGATGTCCTAAAATAGCTTTTTAACATACAGAAAATCAGCTATACAATCCCTATAGAAAAGGTAACTGATCACTAAAATAGGAGCAAATTATATAAATTAATGAAAAGATTAATAACTGCTTTCCAAATTAATACTTGCACCAACATTTATAGACACTATAGAGACTAACATTATTATTTTTACGATTAGTTAAAATTGGTTTTAAAGGCTCCACCTTTCACAGGATTATTATCCAACGTATTCCATTCATGTGCTTTCTTGTTTCTTCTTCCCTTGTTACGTTTGAAGCTGGCCTTTTTCCTTTTTTCTTTGCGAAAAGGATAAGCCTCCTAGCATTAATGGTGTACCATAATGTTAAGAACCTGCGTTAATGATCTCGTCCAGGGACGAGAGTGTTTCTGTAATTCAGAGGGAAGGTAATTGACTGGGAAGGAATCTATGACTTCTGAAGAATTGAAATCTTAAGCAGGAATTAAATTGATGTCCGGCCTAGTCAAGACACACAAAATTAATTCTTCCAAAAGTTCCTTTATTGATAATAATAATGACCCTTATATAGAGGCTGATACAAGAGTCCTAAGGCAATTAGTCAGTTGCCTAAAACTGAAATAGGAATACTAGTACAATTAGTCAGTTGCCTAAAACTGAAATAGGAATAATAGTATAAATAGGATGTTGCCTAAAACTGAAATAGGAATAATAGTAATAACTAATTAATAGTTTTCTTTGAGCCACTTTGTTTCTCGATATAGTTGGGCCCACGGTCTGAGTACGAATCTGCAACGTTCTGGGCTCGTTCTTGGCCCTGTCGCCTGCTGTATTGTATGCCCCAGAATGCATCCGTAACAATACCCCCCTCAATGACTTCGAGCTTGTCCGCAAGCTCAAACCTTGGAAATGCAGCAGTAAAGGACTCCAAGGTCTCCCAGGTGGCTTCCTCGGCCAACTGTCCCATCCAGTGAACAAGTACCTGTGGCACATCCCTATTAAGGCGTCTGCGAAGTATGGCTAGTGGTTGCAAGGTTGTTGGTTGTTCTAGTAAAGGAGGCAGAGGTCCCATTTGCTCAGGGGAAGGACCGTGATGCTTCTTTAAGAGGGAAACATGAAAGACGTTATGAATTTTACTTGTCTCGGGTAAAGAAAGCTGATAAGCGGCCTTGCCGATGCGAGCAGCCACTTGGAATGGACCATAGAATTTGGGAAGTAGTTTATGGTGACGAGAACCCATGGAGAGTTGTCGGTAAGGATGAACCCGCAGCCAAACCCAATCATTGGGTTCAAAGGTAACCTCCCTGTGATTTTTGTCATATTGAGATTTCATACGAGCTTGGGCAATGGTCAAATGACGTCGAGCTGAAGATAAAAAAGCATCACGGTTGATTAACTCTTGTTCCACTCCCTCCAATTTTGTGGTTCCTAGAGTATAACAGATTAACTTCGGTGGATCTCTCCCATAGACGAGACGAAATGGAGTATCTCCTAAACTGGAGTGAAAGGAAGTGTTATAGCAGAACTCTGCCCAAGGTAACCAGCGAACCCATTCCCTGGGGCAGTCACTTGTGAGACAGCGTAGAAAAGTTTCCAATGTGCGATTAACTACCTCCGTTTGGCCATCCGTCTGGGGATGATAAGCTGAACAAAAAGTCAGTTTAGTGCCACTCAAACGGAAAAGTTCTCGCCAAAATTGACTAACGAAAACTTTGTCACGGTCAGAAACAATAGATTCAGGGAGTCCATGCAGCCAAAAAATTTCAGAAAAGAAGACACTGGCCACTGAAACAGCCGTGTATGGATGAACCAGTGGTATAAAGTGGGCAGCTTTTGTGAGACGATACACAACCACAAAAATGACTGTTTTGCCCCAAACTTTTGGCAGCCCCTCAATGAAGTCCATGGAAATGTCGGCCCAAACTTGTTGTGGAATGGGTAACGGCTGAAGCAACCCTGCTGGTTGTAATGTTAACCATTTATGGCGTTGGCATGTGAGGCAGTCCTTGACAAAGTGACTCACCGTTAGCTTCATTTTGGGCCAATAGAATTCTCGACTCAACCGTTGTAGTGTCTTTTCCACACCTTCATGGGCCATCTCATGAAACACCATAATCAACGTGGGAATGAGGGATGAGGTAGAATGGAGAAAAATCTTATGACGGAAGTAGAGAAAGCCATCACGATATGCCCAGTCATCGTCGAGGACCCCAACCGTCAATTGTTCACATAAAGCCTTGATTTCAAGTGACGTGGCATGTTCGAGGCGTATGTCCTCCATGATAGTTGTATATGGAATGGAGACGGCTGCTAACGTTATAGGTTCATCTCGGCGAAACAGTGCATCTGCAACCACATTTAAGCGTCCTGGTTTGTACTCGATCCGGAAAGTGAAGCCCATAAGCTTGCTTAGCCAGTGTTGTTGTGGTGATGTAGTGAGACATTGTTCTAACAGATATTTAAGACTCGAATGATCAATCTTAATTAGAAACTCTCTGCCCCAAAGATAGGGCCGCCAATGGGTGATTGCCTTCGCCAGACCGATTAGTTCCCGCTCATAAGCCGCAAGTTTCGAATGGCGGGCAGCAATATGCCGACTAAAATATGCAATGGGATGACCCTCTTGCTGCAAGACGGCCCCAAATCCACTACTAGAGGCATCACACTCTACAACAAATTCTCTTGTGAAATCTGGAAGTTGCAATACTGGGGCTGAAGACAAACGCTGCTTGAAGTCAGTGAAGGCGGTGCGGTGGCTGCTGCTGGGGACCAAACAAAGGCATTTTTCTGGAGAAGTTGGGTGAGTGGTCTTGCAATTTCTCCGTATCCTTGTATGAATTTGCGGTAATAGCCCGCAAGACCCAAAAAACCACGCAAGGCAGTTACGGTGCTTGGGGTAGGCCAGTCAAGAACCGCACGAATCTTGGATTTATCAACCTCAACTCCTTGACCATGAATCACATGTCCCAAGTAGTTAACTTGCGGGGATCCAAAACTACACTTGGAATGTTTGAGAAACAATCCGTGAGTGCGTAAAATCTCAAAAACAAGGTGAACGTGATGGACATGCTCAACCCATGACTTACTATCGATCAAGATGTCATCAAAGAAAACTAATACGAATTTGCGCAAGTAAGGCCCAAAGATGTCGTTCATAAGGCTCTGGAACGTAGATGGAGGGTTAGATAACCCAAATGGCATCACAAGGAACTCAAAGTGACCAATGTGGGTTCGGAATGCTGTTTTTTCGACATCATTAGGATCCATGCGGATTTGGTGATAACCAGAGCGGAGGTCCAGCTTGGTGAAGAATTTGGCGCCATGGAGTTCATCTAACAAATCATCAATCACGGGAATAGGGAATTTATCTTTAACAGTCTTGGCATTCAGTTCCCTATAGTCCACACAAAAACGCCATGTGTCGTCTGGCTTCTTGACTAATAAAACTGGGGATGAGAAAGGAGAGCGGCTATGGTGGATTATCCCCTGTTGTAACATCTCTGAACATTGTTTTTCAATTTCATCCTTCTGGAAATAAGGATATCGATATGGTCGAACCACCACGGGACCTGAGCCCGGCAATAAAGTAATACGGTGATCATGAGTTTGACGAGCCGGGAGACTGGTGGGTTCTCGAAAGAGGTCACAGAAACTGTTCAGCATTGTATCCAGCGACGGGGTCTCCATCTGCGAGGTAACAGCCATGTGGGCATGAATGGAGTGACCTGCTGCCCGTCCACGCCATTCTACTGGATGGCCCTGCCACTGGAAACGCATGGAGAGCTGCTCAAAGTCCCACACGATGGAACCTAAACCACGGAGCCATTGAACACCAAGGATCATATCGAACCCGGCCAGTGGAAGGATATAAACATCTGCTGAGAGTTGCGTGCCATCGACTTCAAAAGGGAGATTGGAGCAGGTACCCATTATGGAAACACGGTCACCATTAGCGACAAGTACATGGAGTGCACTGCCAACCTGAGAGGACCGCCGTGGTTGGAAGTAACCGTTGGTGAAGGAAGTTATGAGTGCTGCCCGAATCTACCAAGATAGTGATGGAACGGTCATAGAGACGTGCTGAAAGTTGCATGGTGGATGAAGATCCGAACCCGGTCATAGCCAAGATAGACAGGGATGGCTCAGCACTGGTTGTATATTCATTTGGCTCCTCTAAGGATTCCTCATCCAGAATCTCAATAAAAAAAAGTCGTTTACAACGGTGACCTGGAATCCACGGATCGTCACAGTTATAACACAAACCTTTTTCCCGGTGTATGGCAGCCTCAGTGCGGGAGATCTTTTTAAACCCCGGTGTGGATTGTCGTCGGTTTAAGGATGGATCAGGCATATTCGGTGTCGGTGGCCGCGTGTACTCTGCAGATGGAACCAAAAGAGTGGAATGAGATTTGGTCTCCGGGTGTTCATACTTGCGGTTCATAGTACGGGCCAACATCATTGCCGAATCAAGATCAACTGGATTCTGGTACTCAACCTCCAAGCGCAACGATTCACGTAATCCCGCTGTGAAGATTTTAACTTGCATGCGCACAGAGATGCCAACTGTGCGGGCAAGCAACTGTTGAAACAACTCAATATAAGTTTCGACATCATGTGTTTGGGTGAGTTTGGCAAGGTCCCCCCTTCAGGATTGGCGCCACAGGGCGGTCCAAAGCGTTTAGTACACTTAGTATAGAACTCGGTCCAGGTGATGTCAGTAGCACTGGGATCAAGCTGATCAGCCCAGAGTTGGGCTGTCCCAGTCATGTGAAACGTTGCGAGACCCACACGGGCTTGCGCCGGTGTACGCTGGTGAACAAAGAAACTTTCACAACGTTTAAGCCATGACAAAGGATCGCTCTTACCGTCATATTGTGGAAAATCAAGCTTGGAAAAACGTGGAACCACCAAGTCATCATGATCCTGCCGTCGGTAGTCTCGTTCGTGTTGTCGAGCAAAGCGGGGACATACTGAGGAGGAATCTGCGGTCAGTTTCTGGACAGAGGCGGACAAGGCGGCCATCGCTGCCGGTAATTCTGCCAATTTAGCGACACACTCCTGCAGGTCGGCCAGCTGGTGTTCCACAGTCAGCTGGCGTTGGTCCATGCCCTCAATCATGTGTTTCAATGCCTCGGCTCCTGCTGCATCGTTGCCCATCGTCCCGGAATCTGATACCAAATTGTTAAGAACGTACGTTAATGATCTCGTCCAGGGACGAGAGTGATTCTGTAATTCAGAGGGAAGGTAATTGACTGGGAAGGAATCTATGACTTCTGAAGAATTGAAATCTTAAGCAGGAATTAAATTGATGTCCGACCTAGTCAAGACGCACAAAATTAATTCTTCCAAAAGTTCCTTTATTGATAATAATAATAATGACCCTTATATAGAGGCTGATACAAGAGTCCTAAGGCAATTAATAATTAGGCCGTTGCCTAAAACTAAAATAGGAATACTAGAACAATTAGTCAGATACTAGAACAATTAGTCAGTTGCCTAAAACTGAAATAGGAATAATAGTATAAATAGGAAGTTGCCTAAAACTGAAATATGAATAATAGTAATAACTAATTAATAGTTTTCTTTCAGCCACTTTGTTTCTCGATATAGTTGGGCCCACGGTCCGAGTATGAATCTGCAACGTTCTGGGCTCGTTCTTGGCCCTGTCGCCTGATGTATTATTTGCCCCAGAATGCATCCGTAACACATAACTAGTGAAATTGATGCATTTTGATACCCCACAATTGAGTGAAGTAAACCAATATTCTAAAGTCTTCATACATGGGTACAATTGAAATTCATGCTAAAATTATCTCAAGCAGCAACCTCAATTTCACGTACATTTCCCAAACAAAATACATCTAAATGCTTGATTCGCGTAATCAATTTCTATCAAGCACTTATGGAACTGTGCTAGTTCGGGGGGGGGGGGGGTGTGCTAGTTTGGGGGGGGGGGGGGGGATGTGCTAGTTCAGGAACAAGACATATAGGTAGTCTAATTAGTGTACAAGCTCAGAAGAATCATGATGACTCGTGTACTAGGATATATTATTCGTTGCACATATTTATTGTGGAGGGCACGTGAAACTTAGAGTGACAAGGTTTTTTTAACCAAAATTTCAAATTTATTATACTGAAACAATTAAATTCACTTACGGTACTGATTTGCATCATTCAATTGTTAAGCTACCTAAATACACAAACTGAATAGTTGTGATACCATTTTTGGATTTACTACCTATTTTACTTTACTTGTTTTGCGAAGCTCACAGGTTTTCTTTCTACCTTTTGTGTTCACCAATCATCTCACGGGTTGTTTTTTTTTTTCTTTTTTCCTTCATCCCTTGTCCGCATGAGACTTTTTTCAATGGAGTTACCAGAACTAACGGTGCACTCGCCGCTTTCTTTATTTCTTCTTGGCTGTAGTTCTGTTTTTCGTTTTCTTATTTTCCCCTATTGAAAGAAACTTTTTCCAATGACATCCTGACCGTCCCTGAAATCAATATCTTTTTCATGAATTCTGATTTATGGCGATTTCATGACAGAAACTAGCAAACACACCATTCTGGCGACTACATTGAAAAAGAAAGACTTATTGATAGGGCAGACAACGGGAGAAAGAAAAAAGGGGGAAATAAATAAATAAATAGAAAATCCGCAAAAAGAAGCAAGAAAACTAATGAGTTTACTATTACATTTAGCGAAATCAATTCCAAAGACTACATTAGAAGGAAAAAAACTCTTCTGATATGGCTGCAAGGGAAAATGGAAAAAGGGAAAGCTAAAACCAAGGAAGAAGGAAAAAATAACAAAAAAGAAGAGGAGCAGGAGCAGGAGCAGGAGCAGGAGCAGGAGCAGGAGCAGGAGCAGGAGCAGGAGCAGGAGCAGGAGCAGGAGCAGGAGCAGGAGCAGGAGCAGGAGCAGGAGCAGGAGCAGGAGCAGGAGCAGGAGCAGGAGCAGGAGCAGGAGCAGGAGCAGGAGCAGGAGCAGGAGCAGGAGCAGGAGCAGGAGCAGGAGCAGGAGCAGGAGCAGGAGCAGGAGCAGGAGCAGGAGCAGGAGCAGGAGCAGGAGCAGGAGCAGGAGCAGGAGCAGGAGCAGGAGCAGGAGCAGGAGCAGGAGCAGGAGCAGGAGCAGGAGCAGGAGCAGGAGCAGGAGCAGGAGCAGGAGCAGGAGCAGGAGCAGGAGCAGGAGCAGGAGCAGGAGCAGGAGCAGGAGCAGGAGCAGGAGCAGGAGAAGGAGAAGGAGAAGGAGAAGGAGAAGCAGCAGGAGAAGCAGGAGAAGAAGCAGCAGAAGAAGAAGCAGCAGAAGGAGAAGAAGGAGAAGAAGAAGCAGAAGAAGAAGAAGAAGAAGAAGAAGAAGAAGAAGAAGCAGAAGAAGAAGGAGGAGAAGGAGGAGGAGCAGAACAGGCAGCAGAAGAAGAAGAAGACAGATCATCAAGAACAGGCCGCAGATCAATGAAAACAGACATGTGAAAAGGTCAGATCAATTTTATACTATCATTAAGTGAGTTTATTTGAGAAGAGAGGTGAAATTTGAGATTTTTATAATCAACTGAACCTTATTATTATAATTAAAACTATTGTGGTTGTAGTAGTTGTTGTTAGTCTTGTTACTATTTATTATTGTTGTTCTTATTATTATTATTATTTTTATTATTATAAATATACACTTTGGACTTCATTTCCATCATTTGCAATTGAGTCAAAGATTCATTATTTTTTGGTTTGAGATTATGATGGAATAAAGCAAAATGGCTCACTAAACTGTCTGCGCTTCTTTGTTATGAAGCAGCAGTCAGTCCATGCAATTTTGGACGGGATTTTCACTATGGATCATCCGGAAATAGTCTCTTTGTGCTTTAGCACAGGGGTAAGACTGCGTACATCCGACCCTCCTTACCCCACCGTAGGTGGGAGCCTTTGCGGCACTGGGGTAAATGAAAATGAAAATGAAAATGATATACACTTTGGACTTCATGTATCCTGGCCCCAGAAGTTGGAGATACAGAAGTTTGCTAAATTTGGTATGCATAGAACAAAAGAAGATACCGAGATGCTCAGCTGTTTTCGCAGCTTCCTTCTGATGCAACATGTGTAACAGCAGCAGGACAATATTAAGGTGTATGCCATCAATTCATTACATGCTTCTGCTGAAGCTGTATTCACAAGAATGAAAAAAGGAAATTAAAAACAGCACAGAACCACTGAACTCTGGTAAAAAACAAAATGAAACCCTTTAAAAAATAGATATTTGAATTGCAGGGAAGGCACATTATCATTTGAACGATAAAGGGGAATATATGCAGCCAAAGAGAAATTTTGTTTCTCCACAGTGTGTTATATTCCACAGAGCAACAAAGATGTCATTAATATGTAAACATTATTTCTCAAAAGAGCAAATAGCAAGAACCCTACAGGCGCTGCTAACTATTAAACCAATAAGGTATCCCACAACATTCATACAGAAAGACACCAAACTCTCATACATACATATTTGGACTACTTCCCGTATCAAGTTGAACACTTGAACTCATTAGATAAAATCTAATGTCTTAACATTGTAATTAAGATCAAACAAGTAATCGATCTAACTTTGATTCAAAAATAGCACTCAGAATTCAAGATTGGTGAACTTTAACGAGCCACAATCTTCACATGATAGTAAGACACGCAGGCCATGCTAAGCCTTTTATAGTTAATAGCTTATACATTATAATTAAAAGCAAACTATAGACCAGATTTAAAGCAAACCACAAGGCCTTCCCAAGTTATACGAGCAGTCGCAATATCAATCAAAAGATTATAGAGCAACTCACAAATATGTTTGTTGGTTGCTACAGTTGCAATTTTTGAAAATGTCCCACATGGAAATAGTAAGGTTTTTATGCCTGCCAAAAATCAAATGGTTAGAAAATGTGAAAAATATCCATCCTCAACTTTCTATAAATCAACGGTTACAAGCCACCCAAAATCCTGAGAGAGCACGTGAGTGTCAGTGTGTCACTAGAGTTTTGGATTCTGAACGAGTCTCATGCTATTAATATTCTGAATTAAGATATACAGAGTAAGAGTTGGTCTTAAGTTGCGACTGCATTTTGAAGTTGGGAAACTAGAGCTATCTTTTTCAATTTTTGAACCAATTAAATGCTCCTTTCCTTATGTACTTCCAAGTGAAACACTAAATGGAACACACAGGTTAACTTTTTCTTTGCTAATATTGCAAAAATGTGAAGTATCACATTAACAGCTTAGCTTTCTTCCATCTCAGTTGGTTGAGTAATATACACCTGTAAATATATCATGATACAAATTGAGAAATCCTAAGCTTTCAGTCATCCAGCAACCCATCCTCTAAGTTCATAGTAGGTCTATTAAGCACCATAGACATCATTTGTCTCTTATCTGAACTTACCAAATGACTACATGTGATTTAATAAACATAAGTCGGAGTACATTATTCACCCTCAGTTGTCTCTATGCATTAGCATATTTGACTTATATTTAATTCCTTTCTCCTACAAAATATCATTGTCAGCCCCCAATTACTTGGAATCATGATCATTTAGGAGGGGAAGTCTCTGAAGGGTTTTAGTTTATAATTTGTGATTGAAATGCTATACGAATGTCTATTTATTCTCTCAATTTTTATGACATCACAAATATAAACTTTATCCGTCCCAAAACGGTTTGCAGGTCGACTTTTGTTAGTCAACATAGTTTGAATTTATTTTTATATTTAGGATATCACTTTTTAAACATATTCTAATATAGAATTTGCAACTTTATAGAATTTTTAATGTAGTTTCTGAATGTGTAACTTTTAATGATCAAAACTTATTTAATTTCATCGTCAGTAAAACGTAAAAACTGCAACTTTCAAATCAACTTGGGACGGGTGGAGGAAGAATCGAGATTTATAAACTGACCTAGAGGAATCCTACATCTTTGTTTTAGGAGAATGGATATGAGGAAGCAATAGATGAAACTTTATTTATTAAATGAAACAGAGCAGTTTATGGAGTATACAGAGAAGGGGTTCTGAACAACAGCCCAAAAGATCAGAATGCCATTCTTCATATTGATGTGAACCCTTAGAAGATAACAAGTCCTGTTTGGATGAAACTGAAGAAGTATTTCTGCAAAATAAAATGCACTTAGTAACAAACTAGAATGAAATTAATAAGCTACAAGATAGCATGATCTTTATATGTAGCACACAACTAGTTTGATTCACCAAAAAACTTTAAAATTGAGTACATAAAAAAGAATGGCGAAACACATGTGTTATGTCAAGATTTTTTTATTAGGAATCTACCTTGGAGTTGTTTGTTTATCAGTATTTTTTCTGTAGCTTTCATCACAAGTCTCTTTATTACTCTCAGCATCTGAATAACCATGCTCCACCTTGATAGGTTTGGCAGGCAAACTTTTCTCAGGAAGAGAAGTAGCAGCAACAACTTGTGTGACATCAAGAAGATGCTGAATGAATTCACAATGATGTACGTCTAAATTAGCTTGAGAATGTTGCAGCTCTAGCTGAAGTTTTTCGTTTTCTTTGCGAATTGCCTCGCTGATGGGCATGCTTGGGTAGGAACATGAAAGTGTTTTCTTCAATACAACAGTATCGTCTTTAGAGGGTTCTGGCTTCATTATGACTTGTTGCACCTTCATGTCTTCATCATCCAGAGTGTAAACTCTTTGATCCTTTTCAATAATTTCCAATCTCTCCTGCCAATCGTCATAAGAGTTAATTTGGAAATGTAGAGAGGAGCGCTAAGAAAAATATTACTCTCTAGAGTTAAGACATACTTACATTGTTATAGCAATTATGAACTGAAGTTAGTCAAGTTACTGTGTTAGACTTGATCAAGTACAAACACAGCATGTCACATGCACGGCAAACAGTTTAACACGCACCAGAATACCAGATACACACTGGTTTAAGTGCATGGGTGTAGATACTAGACCAGGGCTGCCGAGTTCATCAAAACTCGTATTTTCAGTGACTAAAATTTACTGTTAAAACTCATAGGATTGATCTATTTTTTCAGTCCATACCAAATTCAAACTTTTGGGAGCCCCGGCTACGCCACTGATCACCACATAAGACATAGCCATAATGTGTGAACATCCTCTTTGTAATCTTAACTGAGAAACATAATTCCAGATAATGTGAAAGAAATCAAGATTTGAGTGGGGGAACTGAGCCCTATAGCACTTGGTCCAAAAGATTTGAATCCAATATGCCAGCTAGTTCAACCAAGGTCTTACTGACCCATTATTTTTGTGGGACTTCTAATAGTATGCTCCAAGTAGCACATAACACGTTAATCTGTACTTGACATTGAAACTGAAGCTTAACAAGGAAATAATCTGATATAGAGTTTATCACACATATAGCAAACCATGTTCACCATAAAATTAGTATGCTTAGGTATCCTACTAGTTATAAATCGCAAAGAAGAGTGGAAAAGGGATTAGTGAAGTGAATATTCGCATGATGGAGCAAATACATGATATTGGCATTCCAAAAAGAAACAACAGAGAGGAAATTTAAGTACCCTGACACGTGCATTGTCCACAAGGGTGATGAGGGGGATGATCTTCAAGTATCTGTCTATCTCATTCTGAGCCCTCCGGAACTGATACACAATGTTCCACCCCATAGCTAATAGATAAAGATAGCTCCGATCTTGGCAACTGTTAACCAGGATAAATGCCCTCCTCAATGCATCCTCAAACAGTTCTAATGGCTCGCTTGTTCCTGGATACTTCTTAAGCTCGGATAGCTTGAGCTGCTCCAATAGATTGCCAATTAACTTGAGATGCTGCGCAAACTGCCTACAGTTCTTCTTGTGCATCTTTGCTGTGCTTGCTGCTTTCACTATCATCCCGATTAGCTTCAACCCATCGATCCCTGAAAGCTGGGCGACAGTTGCTATGCCTTCCAAAGCCGAAGACATTTTCCCTCAAATCTAGCAACTTTTTGTGGTTATGATTTTACGTGCAGTGCTAGAGTACTGGAAGAGGTGCTCAAGTAGGCAAGATATGTAGATCTTCAAGTGGTGAAAAATGAAGAGGCTCTAGTGCTCTGCTACATCACCTACCCTCAGCTGCAACAACAACGAAGAAGAAACGTGTCAAGGAGATCTCAACAGGAAATTAAGTTACTATTGCTCCGTTAGACATTTCGTTTTCTTCCCCCACATCTGAAGAAAAAAGGTAAAATGATTGAGGTCTTGAAGTATCAATTCTACTTTGATGAATTTCTTGTTCTATGTTTAAATGTTTCATTAACTAGAGAGCATTCGGATCAGAATATGCACGGCTTTTATTTAACAATAACAATAATACGGAATACAGTTAAAACTTCGTATTTATTCAATTAATTAATAGATAGACAACCTCCAGCGTTTCCAGTGAGTGCACCGCACAATTGAGACATGAAAAGAAACATATTATTTGACTCAAGTCTTCATCAAAAGGATTGACATTTGACATCCAATATAACTCAAAGTAACAGCAACCACCGTCGCAGTCAAGTCTTCAACAACTCAATTCACTGATCTTGGCTTGCGACTGGAATCCAAAGTTGTATTAGTGAAAAGCAATTTTCATTTCGCTGCACCCGAAAATTTGCGCATGAAGAAACAATGCGAAAAGTGTAGACAAAATTAGTATAGTTGCGTATTTGAATGGACGTATACAAAGAGAGTATATGCGTACTGCTGAAGTGAAATACACAGGAAATACGGTTTTCATAAGGTTGTAATATTATAATGAGCTTTTTGTTGTAATAAAATGAGGAGTATGTAGTGAAATCGAGAGGAAAAGAACAAGTATAGAACTTAGCTTTTCGGGAAGTCGTGCATTACTGAAATTTGGAATTATTACCTCAAAAGCGGCCAAGAGGATGAGGAAGAAAGTGATTCGCCGCCGCCGCCGCCGCTAGGAAACGGTGGAGATTTGTCCGGGCTCGGTCTGGCCGCTGCAGTTCACGGACACTGAGAGAGAGCTGCTGCTGCTTTTATTTGGCGGTGCATCACCGCTCGACAGCTCAGCGGTTGGCAGGTGCTGACTACAGCCGATTCCCGAAAGTGCCCCTCGCATTCTGTTGTATTGCGTGTATACCAGCGCTGGTCACGGGTCTGTACGTTTCTTTCCTGCAAAAGTCACCTTGACTTTTACTCCCTATTTACATACACTCCACCCTACCCGCTCCACTCTGGGGAGACTCGTTTCTTCCCTTCTTTGGTGGGCGAATATTTCGAACATTTTAATTAATTTTGGAAATTTACTTTCGTACACGTAAAAGTATATTTCCTCTGTTCTTAAATAAATGCAACGTTCAACATTTCACACTTGCCGAGATATAACGTTGACCATTAATATAAATGATTTTGTATTAGTAAACAAATTAAAAAAATTAGATTATGAAAATTTACAATGAGACAAGTTTAACGATATTTTTTTCATAAAATAATATTATTACATTAATAAATAAAATGTAGTCAAAGTAGAAAATGTGAATAGTGTAAAAGTCAAAGTGTTGTATTTATTTAAGAACAGAGGTAGTATGTTGAAAATTTTGAAATGTAGGAGTAGCTCTTCATTAGTAGTGGGAAATTGGGAATGACCAATCTTTAAAATTACGCTGGACTATACTTCGCACATGGATATAAGATCACCGTCATTGTAATGATTCAGTCATCGTGATATACATCATCTCATATGTCTTATAGGGTCACGATGTCGGGAGCTCTTGGGATCGGGGATTCATCCTCTTGGAGGAATATATGGGCGTATACACATATTGTACGTAATGACATATATGCCCCAAGAATTAGTCTTTAATTTTCATCAAAATTATATAATATAAAATTTCTCGTTTGACAAATATTAGAAATAGATTATGAATGTATAGCATATGTTTTTGTCCTTTGATGGTACTTTTATTTTGAAGATGTATAACATATGTTTTTGTTCTTTGATGGTATTTTTTATTTTGAAGGTACTAAGTATTACTTTCACAGTGATTTAGCCAAATTTGACCTATATGTAAAATAATAAGAAAAAAATTGTGTGATTTAAATATGTACATAAGAAAGAGAAACTATTTTGACCACATGTTTATTAATTTAAATGGAAATGAAATTTTGTTAGGACGGCCAAATAAAGAAATTTGAGTTTTTTTGAATTAATGTTAATTAATTAATTAATTATGAAAATAATGCTGGAAAAAAAGTATTTACCGATCTACTGCTGGATTTAACCATGGTCAGGGAAAGTCGCCCAACGGTTGGGCGACTTATAAGTCGTCAAACCGTTTGACGACTTATAAGTTGCCCAACCGTTGGGCGACTTTCCCTTCCATATGAACGCAGACCAGCAGCTACTGCCAGCCACGCACGATCGTGCCTGCAAGGGGCACGATCGTGCCTAATTCCGAAAACAGAATTTCAGCATTTTTTTGCCCTAGGTCAACCCAAACTCATCTGTTTGCTATAAATAAGATCTCTCTTCTCCTGTTCAAGTGTTACGAGCCAGATACAACACATTATAAAACATACAACACACATGTTCACAAACACATACATAACACCTACTCTCAATAACATACAAGTGATCATCTAATATTCATACTCGAACACATGAAGACAACATACAAAAATTTAGAAGAGAAAATACGTAAAATGTTGTAAATTGTTCCTACAACATCTTCTGTGCAAGAAAAACTCCAATACAAAAAGGCAAACTACAAGTTTTCATTGTCATCTTGATCATCGTGGTCATGGGGATGTTGTTGTTGATGTCTACGCCTACACCGTGGTCGTGGTTGAAGAACCACTCTCTCATGCTGCGTCTGGGATGATGAAGTCGTCGCTGCACTAGACGTCGATGGCATCTCCTGTGATGGGGGCATGTGTATAAGATGGCCGTAGTCGACTCACCCCAATACATCTGAACACAAGGAGGCAATGCCTGTCAGAGTATGTCCATACATGTTCACATCATGAGTCTCACTCACAGTGACTCACAGTGGCAGTAGCCCGCTGATGTATACGTTGCAAAGCTCGTGTCTGAAATATGAAACATAATTACAATTACATTGAAATACATACAAGTATTAACTAAATAAAATGACTTACTTTACTAATTAGTAATATACTCACCGTAAGATGCAAAGCCAAGGAGCTAGGCTGATAATGATGAGTAGGGAGTCTGAACGAAGGAGACACAAACAAACGAGTGATGCTGTAATACCATCCCATGTAGTCTCCTGAAACAGATGGGACAAATGTCGGTGTCCCAATCACAACTAGCTCAGCTCGCCTGTCCCACAAAGCGACGTATTGGACATGTCTGAGTGCCCAATCCTCCGTATGCTTCCCACGCCTATCCAGCCTATGAAGCTCTACATAAGTGTCGATAAGTCGTGGAATGACCTGCTCAAACCCAAACTGTCGCAAGACTCGATCAGGCAAATGAAGCTCAACAATGTCAAAACATATCAACGGCACACGTGCTCGCCATATGTGACTATGCTCTCGTCCAGCTGGGGGCAACTCTGCAAACATCTCAGCTGTATACGGCATCCATGTAATCTGTTTTACAAAGATACAAAATTAGTATTTATGCTATACATATTATAGCATATGTTATATTACCCACACGATACATGATCCTCAGACATCTGATCAAATGCATTCCTGTAGACACCGAGCCCAGTAGCGGATGACATGCGACTTAGACCAGCAAATAGCCATCTAACGATTCATGTAACCGTTTCATTAATATGGATATTATTAATATACTTACATTCAACATACAATAACAGAAGACGTGATGTGGTCCCAGAAGACGTGGAGGTTCATCAGGGAGTGGGCGTCCATCAATGCCATGATATGCGACTACAAGGGGACTCCCAATGTGGATATACTCCCATGACCAAATCTGGAGGAGTAGCAAAAATCCTTCAAGCTCTGTGCTCCCTCTATGGCAGTCGCGACACAGCTGTCTGTAGAGATAAGCCAGCGTGGTACTACCCCAACTGAACTGTGCTGGTACATCAAACCTCTCTAGCATAGGCAAGTGCATCACCTGAATCTCATTTCCGCTCTTGACAGCGAAAATGGAGGCTCCCATCATCATCAACATATATGCCCGTGCATGCTGCTAGATCATCACCTCATCAGTGTTCGGATGAAGCACCTGGAAGTGCTCCCTCAACCATGACTTCCTCAGGGAGGACCCCTGAAGGTCAGTCTGAAGAAGGGGGCGGACACCTAACAACCGCTCACACTCATCTACCCACTGTCGACAAGCAGTGCCTCTAACAACTCTCCCATCAACCTGTAGCCCAGTAAGTACAACAACATCTCCCAAGGTCACTGTCACCTCACCAACAGAGAGGTGAAATGTGTGTGTCTCCTGCCTCCAACGCTCAAGAAGAGCGGTGAGTAGCACTCTATCGAGAGGGACAGTAGCCACCAATCTGTGCAGACCATAAAAACCCGCAACACGAACATATGCAAGTACTCTGTCGTCCACGTGCATATGCGACAAACCCCGCAGATGCTCGCGACACCTATCCACCTGAACATCGAGGCCAAGCCAAACATCCTCACTCCTGTGCGAGGCCTGCAATGTCTTGGATAGAACGATCACTCGGCCCAGGATCCGCCGTCACCTCCATGGCTACAAACAAACAATTCTTAATTCGTATTAGTTAATTATTACTACTATACTAATTCTTTTTTTTAAATTAATTTTTTATTTAATTTTTACTATTAATTTTTTTAATCGAGGACAAACTACGTTATACACGTGTGATTCCCATCAACATGATCATTAACAACAAAAACTTCAAAAAGACTATAAGCTTGAAAACCAAATGCATAATCTTCATTACAACAATACAACCAAATTCAACAACCAAATCAGTACCCACATACAACCACACAACACCTAAACATCTGCTACTATATCCTACTTCCCAGGAAGATGATAACAAACAACCCGAACTACACTACATTCCAGGAGAAAGTCCCATTGCCTTTCTTTGACATCTTAAGTTCCTCTTCCATATTTTGGAGTTTCAAAAAGACCAATCCCACGAACACAACTCTTGGTTTCAGCTTGCATCTCTAATTCTTTCATCCGGAAATTCTCTTCAACACTGGTAACCTTCTGGAGCAAGGTCTTTATCCGTCTAAGGCAAGTACCACATTCTTCATCCTCAACCCATTCAAAGAAATTGCACTTTTGACCACTCAAGAAACGACCGCACCCATAAAATCTTTTCCCCTGTTTTTGTCTGTTGTTGCAGTCCACACCGGTGCTTGGAGTCCATAGTCACACCTCTTAATTCGCCTTCTTGCATCCATCGACCAGGACTCGGCACTCGAAGAACTCATCGACGTCTTACTCTCCTTTCTTTATATCCTTCACCGACGTCTTAGGACTGCCTTAAACAAGAGGCTGGAGGGTTTTAATAATTAAACAGAAAAGAAAAGCCACGTGTATATGCCTAAAAGAATCATTCCAAATTTAACCAAATAAATGATGTCACGTGTAAGGGCCGGTGCCCCGGGTGAGATAACGGAGTGAAATCTTCATTTAGATATCGAGTTTGTCTTCAAATTTTCAATAGAAAAAACTACCAAAATTCTAATATATCAAAAAGTCATAATTCACAAAGAAATCACATTTCACTATGAAAATACCCAAATTTTGATATCTACATTCAAGTCTACATTTCAAGAACCAAATTTAGCTACATTCAAATCTACCTAAATGCCCAAATGTCAAAATACACTTTAAAATTTAGAATCAATTTAAAATCAAATTTCAACATTTCATACATATCCACATTTCACAACAACTCAATTCACAATCAATTCATAATCTAAAAATTCGAAAATTTTAACATTCAAAACCCTAAGTTCAAAATGAGATGAAATGGAGTTTGATTTACCTA